AGGCCTCCTGGTACTCCCCGTGCGGCTTGATCATGATGACGCAGGTCGGGCGCTTCGAGCCGGCGGCAGCTCCCAGGTCCTGCGGGGACAGAGGCTGTGGGCGATGCTGCAGGGCACCGGCCCACCCCGCATGTCCCGCTGTCCTGCCTTTACCCCCTGTCCAACACGGGGCCAGAGGTTCTCCCAGCTTCTCAGGTCCAAACCCCCTTCACTTGTGCTTGCTGTGAGAAGCCTCCCCCAGCTTGTCTGTAGCTCCCGGGGGCAGGATGAAGGGCTGCTGTTTGCCAGAAATGCCTGGGCACCTGGCCTTACGCATCTGTGCTGTCCGTGAGGTGAGCAGGAAGCCAGAGTTTGAAAAAGTCTGAAGGCCTGTACAGGTTTGAAGCCTGTATAGGTGGTAGTGGGTAAAACCCCAAAGGCATCAACTCTCCTAATGCCTACTCTAAAAAAAAAAAAAAAAGGATGTCTAATAAACACAACAACTTAGCTACTGCCTCATTCCTGAAGCCTTCAGGTCACCAGCTCAGAAGCAAGTGGGGAAACCCCCTCCAGGCTCTGCCCTGGTGCAGTCCAGCACCAGTGCTGCCGCCAGAGCTTCTCTACAAGGGGAAAAGATTCTGCAGTTCCACAATAAAACCATCCTAAATCTGAGCTGTGACCCTCCGTTCCTCTCTTGCCCCGAGAACAGACGAGTGCTGGTGCTGGAGTGTCACCAAGGGCCTCCTTTACCCAAAAGCCATATTTGTGCCTGCCCACGTACGGCTGCCTGTCGCAGCATGGTTGGGGCTGCAGCCTGCCAGTTTGCTGCCCCAGGACTCGGGTGCCCCCTGCTCCACAACCTCATCCCCTTACCGATTTGGAGGGGACGTACGCGTAGGGGAGGCTCCTGTCCTCGCACATGATGGGGATGTGGCAGTACACCTCGATGGGCAGCGTGTCGCCAGCCAGCACTGTGATCCTGCATGGGAGAGCCCGCGTCAGCCGCCGCCGCGCCGGGCTGCGCCCGGGGCGGCGGGGGCG